GTTTGATGATTGTGATGATTGCAGCTTTAAATTATTATTTAAAGGCTGGTGGTGTAGTTCAGTGGCATGTTCAAAGCTTTGGGTTCAGTCTACAGCATCCACCAACCCCCCCATCTCCCCATATTATCTTAAGCTCTTATGTGTCAGGTTCTATGCCAAGTCCTGAAGGCACCAAAATGAAAGATCAGGAGAAATTTTCTTCAGGATGAAAACTTGAGGCAAAGGAACATGGAGTAGACAAGGACCAAGGTGGGTCCCCAGTGAGTCAAGCCCTTGTATGATCCCTGCCCCTTGAGAGTAGATGGATCCTGTGACTTGCTTCTAGCCAGTAGAGCATAGCAAAGGAGACAGGATGTCATCCCCTGATTATGTCATATATGATGTAGCCTGAGTACTAGAGTTTGAGCTGTCACCATCAGCACCAATGGGTAGAGACGGATATTAAATATGTAAACTTTAACCAGAGAATTGGCAATCTGGAAAGACAGAGGATTAACATCCCGGAGATCTACCTTATGTCTCATCTCCAGCTTTATGGGATTGGGGAAGGCAGTTGGCCATTCCAGAGCTTAGTCTTGCCTGTTTAGTCAAGTGGTCAGCCACATTTCTGAGCCTGCATTTGTGCCTCTTTGGTTAGCACCCCTTGCAGTCTTCCCACATTCTGTGGCTGTTTGGGCTTAGGAACTTCTTGAAATGCTGAGTCTAGTTTCTGCTCTTAACAACTTTGTACTCTTCCAGAGGAGTTGGGGGAATGTGTTAACTCAGAACAAACAAACCATGATAAGCTATTAGTAACATGTATGTGCAGACTCTTTTACAATCTGGAGTACAAATATGTCTTTGTAATACAGGATATAGCAGTGACCCTCTTCAACTCTTCTGTCTCTTATCAATAAAACTCAGTTTCCACCAAGTGGCGTGGGAAAGACGCACTTGCTTACCTTGATAGCCAGCTGCTAAGATATGGATATTTGTTAATAGCTGAGGCCTCAATCCTAAGAGTGCAAGAAACTGCAGTTGGTTAACCATCTGAATAAGACTGAAAGCAGATCTTTTCCCAGTTGAGCTTCTGTTGAGGTTGCAGCTCTGGAACAGCTGGGTTTCAGCTTGTGGGGCCTTGAGGCTGAGAACCTGGTAAGCTGTGCTCAAGCTGCTGACCTAGAGAATGTTGAGATACTAAGTGCTCTGTTTTGAGCTGTTAAATTTGTGATAATTTGTCCTGTAGCAATAGAACATTAATACAATTTTTTAAAATTTTAGCATGAACTTTAAAATATTTTATTATTTTTATTTTATGTGTGTGAGTGTATTGCCTGCATGTAAGTGAGTGCACCCCTGTCGTGCAATGCTGCAGAGGTCAGAAGAGGGCATCGATTCCCCTGAACTGGAGTTAAGGATGGTTCGCAGCCGCCATATGGGTGCTGGGAATTGAACCTGGGTTCTCTGCAAGAGCAGTCAGTGCACTTAACCCTTGAGCCATCTCTCCAGCCCCATTAATCCAAATTTAGGGTTGACTTAGAACCAGGTGACAGACAGATACTTTTAGACCTAGCAAATTCTACTGCCAGAAGTAGGCTGATAAAATGACTCTGCAAACATGGGCTACATTTTATGAAAAGGCAAAGATTGCTCAGAGGAAAGAACCAAGAGTCTGAAGGGCAAACTGGAAGCCAAAGCTTTTCCCAGAGTTTTCTTTTCCTTTCTTTCATTTAGTATTATTGAGGGTTGGGGCAAGGATGGCAAGTATGTGCCACAGCACACATGTGGAGGTCAGAGGAAAACTTTTGGGAGTCAGTTCTTTCCTTCCACTGTGGGTTCCAGGAATCAAACTCAAGTCACTGGGCTTGTGGGACACACACAACCCACTAAGCCATCTATCTCACTGACCCAGCCCAACTTTAAAAATTAATAAAAATCCTGTTTGT